ATTAAGGTACCACGGCTACTGATTGCGACAATGAATAGATCATAAACGTAATTGGTAATGTTTGTTTAGTGGTGATTGTTTTATTTTTTTTTATGTTACTGTTGGGGATCTAAGATTCCACCTAAGATCTTCCAAAAATTATACCAAGTAGAAAAATACAAATACAATGCGATTCAACCTCAATGCCTACGTCCACAAAAAAGAAACCGATTATCACTATAATAATAGAGAGATTATAAAGAGAATAACAATGAAAGAGGAACTCACACCATCCTCACTTCTCACACTCTACTCGTCTCCTTCTCCTACCCAGAGGGAGACTCACTCTCTGTCTCACATCTCTCACTTTCTTTGATTTTCCTCTCTCATCTAACTCTCCCCCTTTGTTTCTCTCTTTATACACTGAAGAGAGAAGTGTGAAAGCCACCATTCTTGACTTCCATCAACCTCCATTCCTAACTTTTGGTGCCTCACCTTTCGATGGAGAATAATCACCCCTCATATGGGGTGATAAATATCCAACAAATCACCCCTCACGTGGGGTGATAGATATCCAACAAATCACCCCCTCAACCCATGTGAAGTAATCCACAGCGCACACTGCTGCTAATCTTGTTATGCCCAAAATCCAGCATAGTTTGCATCTCCTCATGAGACACTTGTATCCCTGAAGCTAGAGATAATACACTAGAGATACAAGAGGATGAGGGAATCCTACATCCTCAATTCAACTCACACCACTCTCTGATTTGGACAGAGCCTCTGCTCCTATCTCCCACAAATCTTTTCCACGCTTCTTGTCTCGAATGTCTTCACTTTCCATGTTTTAACTTGCGTAACCAAGATATCCGACACCCTCTAATTGGATGCCTTGCACCCCCAACCCGGGATGTCCTGCACTCCCTTGAGTACTTAATGACACTGCAACTCCTCTCTAGAATGCCATTAACTTGCCATGTATCATAATATACAGTTGGAGCAACATAAAACACTCTTTGTTCTCCAAACAACACGCTTTGCCTGGTTAACTTCCTCTGTCTTCTTTGCTCGGAGCTTTTCCTTTGAACTATCAGCCTTTGCCCTCTGCACTTCTGAACAACCTCATAGTTTTCCCACATACGCTCGTTGTTTGTGCCTTTGCAATCCCTATTTTGCTCTTCAATAGATTGATGGTTGACAGTAGCTCCATCTGTCAAAGCATCGTCAGCTATGCAATTTCTTGCATAGTGCTCGCACCCATGGTTTCTAGTCTCCCTGTGTCGAGCTCACCTGAGAGATCCGCATCAACTTTATCCTATGCTGCCATGGAACTAAAGCAACCTCCTTTCATGAAGGTTTTTCTCCTCCTTTTTGTATAGAAATTTCCTCATTTCCTCGCGATTTTCTCCTCCGTATATGAAGATTTTTTTCCTTTACCTTATATGGAGACTCGTATATTCTCTACATCTCTTTATTTCCTTTCAAAATTTATTTATTTCGATATATTAATCTAGTGTGTCAATCATATCATGATTAACTTGTTTCCACCTCCATGGCATTATAAATATGAAACTCAAAACCAGAAAGACAAGAAACATGGGATAGGTAAACTGAGGAGGGATGAGGATGGATGAGGTGGGGGTGTAATTAAGAGTAGGGGTGAGTAACGGATATACCAATCCGGCCAAACTGACCGAACCAAACCGATCTGCCGCATTTTGGACGGATGCGCGATAACGAGTAGACAGTTGCAGATTGATTTTTTCCAATCCGCCTAGTTTTGAACGGATGGTGGATTTGAGATTCCTTTGACCGCAACCGAACTGTCAAACCGCGAGCACTCCTAATAATTTGTAAGACTTTGTGTTTTTAATTTGTTTAGATATTTTGTTTGTATTTTCAATTGAAAAATAATTTAAATATTTTGCTGAATATATTCTGTTGAAAAAGAGTTTTCAACTTGAATATATTTTTTGAATTGAAAAAATAAATGTATTATTTATCTATATTTTTTAGTTTTTAAATCTAACTCTAAAAATAATAAATAAAAAAGATGGAATATGCTGGTTAGTTTTTGTTGTCAAAAGCAGATATAGATGTAACAATATAGAGGCATACAATATCTATTATTGTTATGTTCATGATTTTAGTGGTTTGAATTATTTTTATATTTTAAGAATCACAGATTGTAATACTTTATGTGGATGAGGCATGCTGTGATTGTAATATGTGAATGAGACATGCAGTGATTGTAATATTCTAAAATTTCAAATTTTCTTTCTTTGGATGAGGCATGCAGTGATTGTAATACTTTTTTAAGTCATCCAGAAAGACAAGAAACATGGGATAGGTAAACTAGGGAGGGATGAGGATGGATGAGGTGGGGGTGTAATTAAGAGTAGGGGTGAGTAACGGATATACCAATCCGGCCAAACTGACCGAACCAAACCGATCTGCCGCATTTTGGACGGATGCGCGATAACGAGTAGACAGTTGCAGATTGATTTTTTCCAATCCGCCTAGTTTTGAACGGATGGTGGATTTGAGATTCCTTTGACCGCAACCGAACTGTCAAACCGCGAGCACTCCTAATAATTTGTAAGACTTTGTGTTTTTAATTTGTTTAGATATTTTGTTTGTATTTTCAATTGAAAAATAATTTAAATATTTTGTTGAATATATTCTGTTGAAAAAGAGTTTTCAACTTGAATATATTTTTTGAATTGAAAAAATAAATGTATTATTTATCTATATTGTTTAGTTTTTAAATCTAACTCTAAAAATAATAAATAAAAAAGATGGAATATGCTGGTTAGTTTTTGTTGTCAAAAACAGATATAGATGTAACAATATAGAGGCATACAATCTCTATTACTGTTATGTTCATGGTTTTAGTGGTTTGAATTATTTTTTATATTTTAAGAATCACAGATTGTAATACTTTATGTGGATGAGGCATGCTGTGATTGTAATATGTGAATGAGACATGCAGTGATTGTAATATTCTAAAATTTCAAACTTTCTTTCTTTGGATGAGGCATGCAGTGATTGTAATACTTTTTTAAGTCATTGACTGTAATACTTTTTTTTTTTAGACAAGTTTAATTATATTGAAAATTTATAAAATTTTAAACTGTCAAACCGATTCGCATCCATCCGCCAATCCAGCGGATGTATCCGCTCAATCCACATCCGTCGGATTGGTGAACGGATGCAGATTAATTGTATCTAATCCACCAATCTGACGAACGAATGATAAATTAAAAATTCTATAACCAGAATCGACCTATGCCCACCCTTAATTAAGAGGGTGAGCGGGAGTGGAGGGATACAGGTTTGCGCCTCCTACGTGGGAAGCAAAAGTGGCCTTTCCATATTACCAAAAGTCAGGTTCAGTTAAAATGTTTTTTTTGTTTGTTTTTTTTTTTATTATTTTTTTTAAGATTTAATATTGGGTGAAATGGACGATTGAAGAATTACATTTGAACAAGAAAAGGTTTTGCCAGCGAAGAAAAGTGACAAATGGAATTGGTCGGACTTTGTTACTCAATTCAACTTCAAAGTCTCCCCCACCCATTACTCTCTCTCGTGTCTTGTTCTTGGGATTTATATATTTATATATATAGAATCTTATCCAAAATCCAGAGTTGATTTATTTATTTTTTATATTTTGACTCGTTGTTATAGGTTAATAATGCAATAGACAGGAGAATAAGGGAGAGTAAGAAGGGAAGATGATGTTACCTGACCTACTCAACAAAAAGGCAGGGTCCAAAACAGGACTATTAATCTAATTATTATTCCTCATCCTGCTTGTTTCCTTTTTTTTGGTATGATGGTTTGGTGTCTCTTCCAAAAATATGCCTTACTATGTTTGTGATATTTCACATTCTTAGGCCTATAACATATTTCACATTCATAGGCTTATAGGCTATAGGTATCTTTTACTATGCATTACTATGTTTTAGAACAATACTTACATTAAATTGACACGATTAAATGATCGACGAATAAAGTGCCACAAAACATAAATTTTAAAAACTATTTTTTAGTTAATATCTATTTGTTTTCATCTATTTTCCTAATTCAATTATTCAACCAAAAAGCAAAAATTTACTTTTCTCTAAGGTTCTGTTTGAAAATTGACTATTTAAATTGATTTTTTATTTTTTAATAAAAAAATATACAAAATATAAAAAAAGTAATGTAATAATTTATAATAACTTTTTAACTATAAATTAACTTTCTAAACAGAGTCTTAATTTTATTTTGTTCATAAATTCAAAACTTAAATAGAGACAAAATTTGTGTAAATGTGTTTGATAGGACTACTAGAGAGGTAGGTAGGTACCCACCACCAACAGATAAGATGGCACATTTTTAGTGTTAGGGTTGATTATTAAAGCAAAGCTCTCAATCCAATTGGTTACTAACTTGAAAGATGTTCCCCAGTTTCGCTTTTCAACCAGTTTCGTTTTTCAAGGACGAGATAAGCTTCATTTATAAAAACAAAATCCGGGTGCACAGCTTTAAATCTGGGTGCATAGCTCTATGATTTGTCCAACATTTTTGCAGGAGATTCAATGTGTACTATCATTACATTACATTACACGTAAAGGCAGACAACATCGCTTTCGGCAACCAACTAAACCCACTAACCATAGCTGTGTTTGGATCAACCATTTACAAATAAAAACAAAGAAAAATAAAAATCAAATCCCTCCATTTTCTTTTTCCCCTTTCATAACCTCCTCTTAAATTTTTGATTCAAACATAATGGCAATCTGAACATCAAAATCTCAGATATAAATCTTCATCCTTCCTGAGTCACTATAAAATTCAAAATTTGGGGGAGGAACAGCTTAATATTACCTGATATCCAACTATACAAAAGAGAACTGACATTTGAATTCATGGATTCTATTCTATGTAAAATATTTTACTAACTAATATCCAATACATATAACTTTGTGGAAAATGAGTTTGTACACTTTGAGAGCATGTGAACAAAACACAGAATCTGATCAGTCTAAATCTACAGCTCCCACATTCAAAAATTGTATTAACTTCACCTAAAATTGTACTCTATTGTTTTAAACCAACCAAAATTTGTGTATTGTTCGTGCACAATGAACCAGACTTCACAAAGTGGGCATTTGATACACAACCCATACTGCAAAACATTACAGTCAGCAAGCAATGTTCATACTTGCTTCAACCTAAAGCACAAATACACAAGACACTATTAATATACATACACAAAAGTAACATACAACGATATTGCATACAGTCAGCAAGGTATGTTCACACTTGCTGAAACCTAAGCACAAATACACAAGAGACTATTAATTTACACACACAAAAGTAACATAAAGCTACATAAATAGTAAAAGCTTGCAGATCAAGATCAACCCACCAACTCAAACATCATTTTCAGCATCCTCCATCTCCTCATCATCATCATCATCACCACTCTCAATTTCACCTTCAAGAAGCCACTGCTCAAGTTCATCCATTTCTTCGTACACATGCATGTACAGTTCATCCGAGGTATCCCATTGGTCCGTACCCAACTCCTCACCACGACAAGCCACATGCAAGAACGGTCTACTTCTAGCTAAAGCGTCTACCATATCTCTGTTCACACTTCCTGTGACACCCAACCATCTCAACCTTGGAAAATAAGGCTTCTTCAACCATCGGAATGAAAGTTCTGTAATCCCACCACAGTTATAAAGATCCAACAATCGCAAGATACTCCCCCGACACCAATCCTCTTCAACCTGCATTGAAGCTAATGCCATAACCGAAGTATCGCCTATACGCGGACACTGACGCATTCGGAGCTCGGTAATTGGAACCCGACTTTTCGCAAGTAAAAGGACACCAGCATCAGAGAAATTGGGAAGATTTGATAGGTCCAGTTCTTGCAGCACGAGTGTACAAGAGCCATCAAACAAAAAAGAGATACACTTGTCTGTAAGTCTCTTGCAACCTCTGACTGACAACGAAATTAGTGAACTTATCACTCCTCTCTTTAAGTATGACAATCCCACATCACTTATATCAGAACCGTCTAATAGTAGAGTTTTTAATTTTGGAAGCGTGCTGATGGCTTTGAGGGATTCATCTCCGAGGTTCCTACAGTCCCTCAAATCAAGAACGCTAAGATCCATGTTGGATGTTAAACGCATGATCGCGTGGTTTGTCAAGAGATTACAACGTCTTAAACTAACATGCGTCAGAGAAAGTGAAGTTGCAGAGATGTCGTGAAATACCAGATCAGTTAGTTGGGTCCCATGAGAAACCCTAAACTTGTATAGCATTGAGCAAGAATGCAAGATTGTCTTGAAACCAGTATCTGTAACCCGACAGAAACCACCAAGACATATACTTTCCATGCTTGCGCATCTGTCGGCCATCAAAAGGAGTCCAAGATCATTAACTCGGTTAAAGTAGGTAGTGACAAACTCCTGCTTTCGGACCAAGGAAAGATGTTTCAGTTTCCCATGTTGATTAATTTGTTGAAGGCCGAAGTTGGTGAGATCGAATGCAACAGTAGGTTCAATTATCGGTGCATCTCGAAGGTCCAAATGGGTTAAGGAGTTGAGATTTTTAGATATTGTGCTGACCATAGTGTCGGTAATGTAATCTACTGAAAGGCACAATTTGCAAATACTAGGCAAGATGGATGCCCTAACATGATTTGGGGATTGATAGTGTCCAACAGTTGGGCTAAGCAGTTCGGTCACCATTACAGAAGAAATATACCCAATCTCAAGAGAAGTGAGTTTTGTAGAAGCCAAAGCCCAAACCCGAGCAAAATTAGGACGAAGAAATATTGAAACATCAAACATCAGGATCAGTGTCTGCAAAAAATAAAATAAAGGAAAAGAAAAGAGAAGAAAACAAGAAGAATAAGAACTGGCTAGTCTCAGAAAACTTCTGTGAGAAAATTTTTGCAGAAGGACCAATGTCAAAACTATTTTCCAAACATTTACGAGGCATCCACAATTAAGATTAAACCGAAGGCACATCCCAAACAAATTATAAGTGCACTTTAACATGTGAGACCATCATAGACAAGCTAATATGCACAAAAATGGAGAACGGTTGTAAAACTTTGGCATATGCCATCATTATACATGTGGATGCAGTGATTGAATGCAAGGGAGGCATCCCCAAGGAAAGTGTATGTAATAATCCCAACCTCTCTCTTCTTGTGGGTTTATTCAATGAAATTAAACCAATGGTGGGAAACAAAGCATCAAAATAGGACCAACGTGTTGTTATAATGTCCGAAATTATGAAATTTATTTTTAAATTAGGACACATTCAAGAAATGTCGGATACGTTTGAAAAAAATGGCCTAAAAACACTAATGTTCCAAAGATGAAGAGAAAATAGATTGACTCCTACTTGCAAATCCTCCAAAAATGTTGACAATGGTCTCAAAAACACTACACTAATGTTCCAAGGATGAAGAGAAACACCCGGTTTGAGGCAAACCCCCGTCGGCAACCACCAATCCAATAAAAGCCCTGAGGTTTGCTGAAGAGAGATGATCTTGGAAGAAAACAAGGTCATCGTTCAAGTGTTGTCAAAGACCTTCAATCTTGTCAAGGTTGAAGAGTTGTTGATGATTCGTTTTGCTGATAGAAAGAGGCCGGAGAGAGCATAGAGAGTATTGTTGAGGAGCATGGAGTTGCGATAGATTTGTTATGAACTTTATGCAGTTTCTAGGGTGGAATAGGGATTCGATGGTCTCGAAGTCAACAATAGAAGTCTCGAATTGTGGTGGTTCAACTTCTCTCAAAAAATACATATCTTCTTGGAATACCAATAGAGAGGATTGATGATAGAAGATAAGTTCTTATCTTAAAGATGGAGAGTGGGGGATGGGTACAGATTGTGAATGCTTTATAGATTGCGAATGCTTTTATGGATTTCAAAGGTTGAGTGACAGATCAAAGGGGGAGGCGAGGAAAAGCAATCGGGAGGCTGCAAATGTTCAGCAGTGGTCAGTGAAGAGATTGGAGGCCCAGACTGGACTTTGGGGTAAGGGGTGTGATGTGGAGGTACCTTGGCCTGAGTGTGAGGATGTAAGCCTCCTACTTCGGTCAACGGTCATTGTTTGGTGGGTCATTTCAATTGCTCCAGTTGGAAAGCTCCAGAGCTTTTAAACATCAGAATTTGGGTGGCGAAAAGGTGGATGGTATTGGTTGGGTTCAAGTATTGGAGCTTTAAGGGGTTTCGTAAAAAGCTTCTAAAGAGAGAAAACAGTAAGAAAACTACTTTATATCTCCATTTCCAAAATTTGGTATAAAAAAAACCGCCAATAATTTTTCATAAAAAAATCTAATCATGAAACTCTACACACAACCTTTTCTTTTTTAATAAATAATGAAATTTTAGACATGCTTCCTTCAACATCTTCAATTAAGCATTATTCATATAGGGACTTCACTTGCACATACATACATATAATGTCTAAATACTTCTGAGATGGTTCTAAGCCAAGTGCTTCCTTTTCCCTGTTGAGGCTAAGCTACAATAATTAGTTAAGTGTTGAGTTGACTCATCACTCCTGCATCACAATGTTGTTCCAGTATAGATGTATAAAAGATTCAAGAAACAAGAAATTGATAATAGATTTTTGTTGCCAAATGAGGAAGAACTGAGAGAGAGATTGGACTAGCTCTCTAGTGTGATTAGCATAAATAGACGACAAAAGCAACTTGGAAATTAAGATTGTGTTGAGAAGAAACCTCCAAACTCTTATTTATCAAAAAAAAAAACCCAAGCTCAATATTCGTTACTTAGTGGAGGTTAGAAACTATGCAAACATACTCCCGTGCCTGTGACTAATCATAGGTAGATAGTAAGTGACTTCATTGAGCTGATATGTGACCTAATCTCCATACACATGCGTATCAGATCAGTACATAATCTTATCATTTTCTTTCCTTTTAGGTCACAAATACTGATATGGAATCTTCAAATTGTAATTGTTCCACCCCTATAATAGCCATTTTCAAAATGGCTATAATTAACAATTTAAGAACCGGTGCTATTACACCATAAGCTCAGCATGAATAAAGGGCACCCACACCTCGCTTTACTGAACTAGTGAAACATCATTCTTTACTAAACGTCATTTCAAGCATATTAAACGTCATCCTAACAGGCAAAAACTAAACAATAAAGCTAATAAATTGCTTATGAAAATGAACTGCAAAGTAAGGACATAAAGCATCTTTAATAAGGTCTATGCTGTGTTGAACATATAACCCAGAAGTAAATCTTATAGTCATCTAAATGTCATTCCAACACATTTTTGTTTCAAAAACATTCAAGCTAAATGGAGGAGACTGATTTAAGTAATTTGTCTTAGCACTCCAATCAACCCACAAATCGCTTAATTGTTACAAAAAAACGGTACTTATCGATAAAAGATTATTCTTGTTAAATCTATTACTAAACTCAAACTGACTCCTACGCAGTTCTATTCAATGTCCAATATACCATTTATTGTAATGAAAACCTTACTTCTAATTCAGGGCAACCACTTAGCAACTCCTCTAGATCAGACACTTCTATCGATCGCCCTCTTTTCTCTGCCACGGAACTCAAGTACAGAGACCTGAAGAAAAAGTAAATACACAAATCTAATAACAGTATCACTTGGAACAGCACAAACATAGCTAATCGCGCACTATTAAAGTTCAAAATTTATTGTTTAGAAGATCAAAATAGTTTATTCTATACACTCAAAACATGGCTTTCCAAGAAACAATCACGAAAAGAGATTCAGGCAATTATCAAAAACATATATGCTTGGAGAGAGAGAGAGAGAGAGAGAGACACGGAACTCAAGTACAGAGACCTGAAGAAAAAGTAAATACACAAATCTAATAACAGTATCACTTGGAACAGCACAAACATAGCTAATCGCGCACTATTAAAGTTCAAAATTTATTGTTTAGAAGATCAAAATAGTTTATTCTATACACTCAAAACATGCTTTCCAAGAAACAATCACGAAAAGAGATTCAGGCAATTATCAAAAACATATATGCTTGGAGAGAGAGAGAGAGAGAGAGAGAACTAATCGAGTACTATTAAAAGTTCAAAATTCATTGTTTAGAAGATCCAAAAGTTTCTTTAACACACTAAAACATGGATTTCCAAGAAACAAACACGCAAAAAAGATTCAGGCAATTATAAAAAAACATATAGGTTTGAGAGGAGAGAGAGAGAGAACAGACCTTAGGTCCTTGCATCGTGTGCCGACCTCAGAGAGAAGCTTGCCGCTAAAATCGGAGCAATTGTGAAGCGAAAGGTCGTGCAGAGAAGGACGAAGGAGAGAATCAATGGCGGTATCGTCGAGGCGAGTACAATCAACCTTGAGGCTCTGAAGGTAAGGGTTTGGAGGCAACAAAGGCCTCAACAAATCGATTGACGCTGCAATCTCCTGAGAATAAAGAAAAAGAAAAAGAAAAAAAAAAAAAAGATGATCAGATCCAGAAAAAAAAAAAAAAAAAAAAAAAGATGATCAGATCCAGATCCAACTCAAAGCAATACATATGTATAGGTGTGAATCACGAAGAAGCTTACAAGGAGGTGGAAATTGGGGAGAAATGAAAAGATGTGAGAAGCGCAAGCCTTGAAGGTCTTGCAAGTAGAAGCGACTGAGCAGATCGAAGGAACGTCGAGCTTCGTCGTGATGGTTGCCAAGAGCGCCATGGGAAGAATCTCCATGCTCTGTAATTCTGGATTCGAGTTCGCCATTCTCTCTCTCTCTCTCTCTCTCTCTCTCTCTCTCTCTACACAAGGAGTTTCTGTTAGAGAGAGAAGATAGGGTTACCGGGCATGGGCTACGGCGCACAGCGGCTCATGTTAGACAGTTTCTGACCGCATCGCCATGTGCAGGTGCAGGGCCGTCTGGAATCGTTGGGGAGATGATTTGGGGAAGAAAGGCCCTGTTTGGCAAGTGGGTTTTTGGTTTTTTTTTTTTTGGTTGAAATTTATAAAAGAATAAAATAATTTAAAATAATTAATGAGATAAAATATTATATTAAATTTATATTAATTTTTTTTTTCTTATAAACATCATATTCAATTATAAAAAAATCAAACTTCCTTTTTAAACACAAAAATTTTAATATTTTAAAATAATTAAAAATTAAAATAACCTATTAAAATAGCTTCACAAAACCAAAGAAAAAAAACATAACTATCTCATTACCTAATAACTTGTTGGGGGTAACGACGCGAGTCCGAATCCTCTGCCATGGTTTCTTGTGGTAGTTTTTGCTGCGGTTCAAAATGACGTCGTTTTGACTTGCTTTTTTTATTTAACTTTTGCCCTTTTTCTTGTCTCCCTTAGTTGAGAACCCTAACACACCCAAGAACAAGAGTAGAGAGACGTTTGAGGAGGACAATGGCGGTGAGGCGAAGTGAGATTGGCGGCAATTCTTATCCCACACTCACATATTTCACTCCAACTCCAACTCCAACTCCTACTCCTACTCCAAGATCCCTAAATCTCCAATACTCCGTAGACGATCAAAGGAAAGAACAAAGTACCAGGAAACCAGCAAACCAAGGTAACGACGCGAGTCCGAATCCTCTGCTATGGTTTCTTGTGGTAGTTCTTGCTGCGGTTCAAAATGACGTCGTTTTGACTTACTTTTTTTTATTTAACTTTTGCCCTTTTTCTTGTCTCCCTTAGTTGAGAACCCTAACGCACCCAAGAACAAGAGTAGAGAGACGTTTGAGGAGGACAATGGCGGTGAGGCGAAGTGAGATTGGCGGCAATTCTTATCCCACACTCACATATTTCACTCCAACTCCAACTCCAACTCCTACTCCTACTCCAAGATCCCTAAATCTCCAATACTCCGTAGACGATCAAAGGAAAGAACAAAGTACCAGGAAACCAGCAAACCAATCAAGTTACCGTCGCCGCCTCCACCATTTTCGATTGGATTCATCACTGGTAAGTTTGTTTTTTGTTTTGATTCATTCCAACATTCATTCTCAGGCATGATATTTGTTTTTGATTCATTCACTTCACTCCATCCCTCACATTTTTGTTTGATTTTCTTTTCTTTTCTTTTCTTTTCTTTTTTAAATGGGATTTCATTTACAATGGAGGTTGATTACAGTTTTAGTTATGATTTTCTAAAAAAAATGGGTTTTGTTATAATTTTCCTTTTAAAAAAAGTAGGTTTTGTTTTGATTCACTTAAAATAAAATAAAAAAATAAAGAAGATTTTGTAATCATCAATCAATTGTGAGCAAGGGATATAGGTATGTATAAGATTCAACTCTAAATGACCCTCAAAGTTTTGTTGCTTTTATCTTATTCTGTTGTTAATTCTATTCTAATTTCCCAACTTCTCTTTTTGTTGCAAACTAACTGTTTGATAAATGTTTTGAGAGATTACAATAACTATCATACCATTGATTACTATCAGTGAGAGGGGGGGGGGGAAACTTAAATGTCTTCATATGGGAAGTGGGAAATATGATTTTCAAATAATTTGAGAACCATGATTTGTTGATAATTTGATGTAGGTAATGAAAAAAATGAATTGGCTAAACAAAACATTGGTTCAAAATTACTTATGTGGATTGTGATCAATGGGAAATTACTTACAAACTACATGAGAGTTCCTAGGGGACTCTCTAACAACTCTACCTATCCCAATTGTACAGAGTGTGAAGATATGGATCACTTGTTTAGAGGATGTATTAAAGATAGAGATATATAGGCAGCTATTTTTGGAAGAGAGTGGTACTCCTGTTCTTTAGATGAGCCTTTGAGGGATTGGATCAAGAATAACTCCAAGAAAAAATCATCTTTGAATCATCGACGGGCTTGGTTTGTTGTGTTTATTACATCACTTTGGACCATTTGGAAAAACCGTAACAAAATGATTTTTGAGAACAAAACCACAAACATAGTGTTAAAATCATTTTTGATTACTTTGATGAAATCCTTCAAGTTTTCAGAATGAGTATCACTTCTCCTAAAAAATATCACTACTTTGATGAAATCCAATATAACTATGTGGTCTTGTCCCATTGCAGGAATAATCAAGCTTAATACGAATGGGAGTATCAAAGGGAACTCTACCCATGGCAGCTTTGGAGGGTTGTTTCGTGATGGAAAGGGAGCTTGGGTCAATGGTTGTGACACCCTCAAAATAAACCCATAACTCATACATTCATGATACAAGAAAGAGATATCATATTCCAAACATTAGAGTATTAAGTACAAAAGTATTACATATTGATAACAAAAGTAAATACCCTACGGGCTTATAACTTTCCAAGTCAACACTTGGGTTCAACAAAAGAAGAGTTCTAACTCTTTATATACAAAATAAGCCATTGGCTTGATTTACATGTAATACAAAAAAAATAACAACAAAAAGATCCGTCAGCCTCTAAGCCTCCCAAGCTACGTCCTTAGAGGTGGCATACCATCTGTACCTGAAAATGATGTCCCATAAAGGGTGAGCCAAAGCCCAGTAGAGATATACTAAACCAAGTATGAGAAATAACTAAAACATTAGCATTCGATAATGGTTAACACTCGTAAATCAACTTACAACACTATCTAGTTTCATGACAAATACATTCGTGTTTCATTCCACTTTTCCTTTACTTATCCAGTTCAAATTCATAAACATGGCTCACTATCTAGCCAAACAATTAAATGAGACTACAACTCATATTAAAACACTTCCATTATCCACAATTCGAATGAGACTACAACTCATATTAAAACACTTCTAATACTTCGATTATCTACGTTATGCAAACGTAATCAAGATTTCAGGACTTTCACCCTGGACACTCCAGCCAACTTAATTATCATGGAGTCCATCCTCTATCTCCTCTCAAACAGGTTTGAGAGTACATCCCCTATGTCCTCTCAAACCTTGGAGTACATCATCTATCTCCTCTCAAACAACATACATATGCAATGTATTTAAACACTTATCATTTGCAATGATCAAGCAAAGCACATATTCAATGTGTTAGTCCATCCGTCATATTCAATGACATACTCAATTGATTAGTTTTAATTCACCTAATCGTCATGCAGTATCTACAACAATCAAGACTATCCTCCATCGATAGCCCAAAGCAATTATTTCTAAACAGATAATAAATTGCTAAACAGATAAATTAGCTACAATTTCGAAGGTGAGTGATTAATCAACCCAACTCCACCATTCAATCTCATAATCGTCCAATTTCATGGTTTTCAACTTAATTTCATATTTCCATAGTTCTCGGATTAATTATACAAATTAATCATTTACATTAAATTAGGGCTTTTTCCCATCTTTTCTCAAATATTACTCTCAAGGCCAAATTTCGTTAATCAAACATCATAACTTCATTTTAGGGACCACTCATACACTTGGAACCCCAAAAGTAGAAAATCCGTCTTTCAATTTTAAAACGTTAACTTCACTCAAAAACCCCAAAACAACACCATCTATACAAAATACATAACATCTATGTCAAAACTCTTAGAAAGGAGTAGGTTATCCCTACCTCAAATTTTGGAGCTCAAAGGAGAAGAAGGACAAAACTCAAGATGCTCCGATCACCAACTTTTTCGGATTAAAACGAAGGCCACGCCAAGCTCCACACTTTATACAAAGGGACTAGGGTGGAAGATCACTAGAGCTAGATGATTTTGTAGAGAGAAGATGTATTCTAGTGAGAGGAGCTCTCAAATGAGGGTTTTGAAAAGCTAGGGAGAGAGTGGGTCGAAAAAGTGGTTCAAAAAGCTTCATCTCGGACTGATATACATCACAGTCCACTCGAGCGTGGAACGTCTCGCTCGAGCGTGAAAAGCGACGCTCGAGCGTCGAATGCACACTTCCAGAAGTTCTGCAGACAAAGGTCCCCGCTCAAGTGTGAAAGTGGACGCTCGAGCGTCCGATGACCTGCAGGGAAAAATACTGAAAACTGAAAAATCTCGCTCGAGCGTCAAACTCCCCGCTCGAGCGTCAAAAGCCCCGCTCAAGCGTGAAGGCCAAAATCTGGGCATAAACTATTTGTTTCTAAACACAACCAACCTGTTTCAAACCTGCCCAACACAACCCAAAACTCAAATACAAAGAGTAAAGGATGGAAACGAGAATAAGACAACAACACACATCCACGGAACCAAGTCCGGAATACAATAAACAATGAGAGGAAAACCGGGATCGCTATAATGGTTACTATGGAAGATTGGAGAATTGCACAAGCTTGGAAGCGGAACTTTGGGCTGTGTATATGGGACTCACCATAATTCTTCAAAGAGACATACACAAAGTTGTATAAACAAATGCGGAGCAGATCGTCCAACTCATAGAAGATGGTCCCAATAAGAAATGCCCTTTCAAAAGACTGGTAGAAGATGCTAGAATCATCTTCAGGACCTACGAATGCAATCATTTCAAGGGATTTAAAAGACTTGCTCTCTTTCTTTTTTTTTCTTTTTCTTTTTTTGTGGGTTACATTTTGTTTCATTTGGTACTTTATGATGTAATTTAGTGAAATGGTTACAGTGGCACTTTTCATACTTGAGAATACAAATAAAGATGGTTGCAATTGTGTTGGTATATGATTAATAATATATTTGGTACTGTCTAATAATACGTTTTGTTTCATTTGCTCTATGATATGTTTTGTTTCATTTGATTTTTTTTTCTTTTTCGTTTCCTCTATATTTCCAGCCTTTGCTCACTACAATCCAAGCAATAAACTTGATTTGTAAATAAAACAATGCAGATTTTTTTAAGAGAATAAAAATTACTAAAGGAAAATAAAATAAAAAGATCACCCAAATAAAAATTTCATTGAAGGAAAGGACCAATTGGCCAGAAGGTAACATAACAACTAACATATACAACAGGAAACTAGACCAAAAACAACATCACCTAAACATTAATTCTAACAAACCAAAAACTAGTTAGCTCAGTTGAATTTCCC